ACTCCATCTTGGACACCACCTGGTAAAGGCATTCCTCCAGCTCAGATTTTTGCTTCATCATGTCTGCTTTGAGTGTCTTCTGATTCTCCATTTTGCTGTGGGTCCCAGCTGACAAGTCTTGCAGATTTTCCTGATGGTCTCTATATGACAGAATCTCCTTCAAGCGACGGCTTATAGGCTCAACATTGAACCCATGCGACTCCAACTCAACTAGTGTGTCCAACATTTTTTCAATGGTGTTTCTGGGTTCATCAAGCTTCAAGTTGCAAGCCTTATCTACTAGATCAGCAAAAGTTCCCATATAACAGATAGCCAGAGTTTCACGACAAAAATCTTCGCTGTGTTGCAGCGGTTGAAAATGAGGATTCTGTGCAATTTTCTGAAAAGCTTCTCTGGATTCTATCCGGTCCCATAGAAATGAGTCTTTCTTCACAAAAGGCCAGCTCTGGCAGAGACCTCCTTGAGGGGGTGGCTGTGGTGAAAGTGTTGATCCATCAAGAGGAGGAGTTGGTGTGTGCACTTTTCCAACCCAGGATGTGAGAGGTTGATCATCTTCAGAACCATTGTTGTGACCTTCACTGACAACCTTCTCCATAGCTACGGGACCTTCGCTAAAAACCTTCTCCATAGCTACGGGACCTTTGCTAACAACCTTCTCCATAGCTATGGGACCTTCGCTAACAACTTTCTCTATAGGTATGCGACCTTTGCTAACAACCTTCTCCATACCTACGGGACCTTCGCTAACAACCTTCTCCATAGCTACGGGACCTTCGCTAACAACCTTCTCCATTGGTACAGAATCCACATTTTCCTCACTTGAAAATCCATCCTTTGATAGCTCTAGACGTCGTTTTCTTTTTATCAGTGAAACTGACGCATTTGAAGGCCTCCAAGGAATTGTCTGCTCAATCATATCTCCATCAGAAGAATTCAAGGATCTAGAGCCAGATGTTTCATTTGTAGTAGCATCTTGGCTACCATGTGTAACAGCAATTTGGGTGATATCGAGACAATCCCCATCCTCAAGGGTACAATGTGGAGATAATATTTCACCCTGAGAAGTATGCCATTTTCCATCTTTCCAAACCATGTGAGGTCTTAATTCAGAGTGATGGAGCAACCTCTCGGTCTTCTTCTCATTTTGGAAGACCACAACATACCTACTGTCAGGAAGTACTTCTTTTACTACTCCAAACCACCACCCAGAATCATAAAATGATTCTACTTTGTCATGCAAATCAAAATTCTTACTACTATTTTTGAGGAGGGGAGGACATGGTCAGATATGACTGGAACAAACAACAGCTGCTCTTATTTGCTCCTCAATTTCAGTATTTGGCCTCAGGCAGTTCACCATAAAACAGCCATTACCACAGTCTTTGATGAGTTTTGAAGGATACCACGCATCCTTATAATCATCTCCCTCAAATGTGACTTCCACCTCTTTCCCCACACTAAACACCAGTCCTGTAGTGTTCTTCCTTTTGGGTGGGAGCCACTCACCGTTCATCCATAGATGGTGGAGTCTCAAATCAGATAATCCAAATTCAAGCTTGTCCTGCTGTTTCCGGAAGGTGACAACATAGCGGGAAGAATCCAGAAGTTGAGTGACAACACCAGTCCACCAGCCATCCTTATAAAAGGCATCGACGGGGTCGTAGAGCTCAAAACCCTCGACAATCTGCGGAGGAGGGCGGGGCCGGACATACTCCAGATTGACGAGCTCCCGCAATGGGCTCTCGCCGTCGTCGGAGAGGAGGGTGGAGTACTCCACGTAGACTCTGCATGACGTCTTGGAGGCGGATCTGGCGTGCGAAGGCGGCGGAGGATTGGTGTCGAGAACGACGGCCTCGAACCAGACGGCGGTGAGGCCTTTCTCCCTGGTGCAAACCTCTATCAACGATCCTTCGGTCAGCCAGACCTGTTTCTTCTTCTCTTGCAGCTTCGAAACCCTGACCATTTTCCGCCTACAAGAAGATGAAGGCACCCATCCTTCCTGCTCAAACATAATCTCACCTTCCAAATGATTAGCAATAAGCCAAGGTTGTACACTTTCTATGGGTTGGGCATCCTTTAAAGCTTAACGTTTGACTAATAGGAATCTGATAATGCTTAATCTTATACTCCCTCCGTCCCTTCGTTCAGTATTCCTTTTTGGTTCGTACTACAATATTTGTCCACTTTCTTTTTCTAGTAAAAAATTCAATAAAATGTCTGATGGGATTAACCCGATCAGATGGCGGACCAAGAACGTAATATGAATATAGAAGATATAATCTCGTGATAATATTCTTTTAATTAAGTGTGTAATTGTTTGGGTGTCTCTCCCACTTTACAACGGCGGGTTCATTCCCCTTTTATCGTACTTCTAATTTTTCCACTCAAATTACACATAATCGGAGGAATTATGGAGATCATGGGGTTGTGATTCCTCCCTTTCCGGTCTCGTTCTCTTCCCATTTCCCCACCATCTGGTGGTATGGGCCACATGTCCTATTTCTCTCTTGGACTGGATCATCCCAATTCATCTCATGATTGGGCCGTCCGTTTTATCACTCACATACGCCTTGGTGGGCCTGATCCGTAACTTGCACCTGGACTTGTCTACTTTGCACGATTGTAGGCCTTTATTGGGCCTGGAGTCGGGTCCATCAAACCCGATATCCATCACAAGCCCCCTAGTTTTCTGGCGACGTGTCGCGAGAAAACTAATGATGAGCCGCCTTCGGTTTTCGTGTCGGATTAGAAACGTCGCACTCGAGTGCCTTGGGTCCCTCCTTACAACGGATATAACCCTTTATGGACTCATCTTCTTCTTCCTTCGCTGCCGAATCTTGACCCGACCCGAATTCCGACTGCAATAGTCCCCAAATTCTCGTTTCTTTCTCCGAGATGGCACCCTCCGCTGATCCCGCAACTTGGGTCCATGAATCCTCTATCATCAAAGAGGATGATCTTCGAGAAATGGCCGAATTTCTGGGCAGAGGCTTCCGGATCCACCATCCTGATGCAGTCGGGGGAATCAGTCTATCTCATAATCCAGACCCCCAGAAGTATATGGTCATGCACTACCATTCGGTGTGGAACGGGCTCAGATTGCCCCTCCATGGTTTGGTTCGCGACATCTTCCAGGCCTTTAAGTTCCCCCTGGTCAACTGACCGCGAACGAGCACAAATATGTCGCGTCCTACATCTTGCGGTGCTGTGCCCTAGATAGAACCCCAACATTGGACGAATTCCTTATCCTTTTCAGCATCGGTGGGGCTTTCCCTTACTATAGTCTGTTTCCTCATCCCCGATCTCCAGTTTTTTAGAGGGTTGAGTCTAAAATCGACAAGTGGGCCCGCCGTTACTTCGTCATCGAGTTCCCGGTTCATAGCCCCATAGATCTGCCGGGTATAGTACGCCGCAGTTCTCTCTCCCGGACTCCGTTCGCAGCCATACCCCAGGCGGAGGCAGCTCTCAACGCCCTGGGAGTGGAGGGGGGTTTGATTTCACATCACTCCCTTCAGGACGCCAGGTTGTACAAGAAGGCAGATTTCTACTACCCACTTGGCCTTGACCCCATCCCGTTTGAAGGGGTATCTTCCCCTGAAAGGTCGAAGGCTTCTCCCGTTGTGGAGTCTTATCCAGCCGGGAACTCCTTTGGGAACCAGGCCCAAGGTGACGCTACTGCCTTGGCTATTTGCAAACCGTCTGCTGCCCTGGACGTCATTCCCATTTCTGCCATTCCTGGGCTAAGGAAGCCCACACCGTCCCAGAAGCGGCCACGGGAAGGGGTCACTGACGACGACGACTTCCCAAGAAGAGTAAAGGTGATGGTACCCCTGCTTCGCCCAGCCCCCTGACTGCTTCCTCTGGTACTCCAAACGCCACCACTACTGCCGCACCCGGAGAGCTGGAGTTACCCAACCCGGATAGCCTGGATCGTGAAACAGATGAATTTCCTGACCAAACACCACTCGAAAGACCAGCGGTGCAACCCCAGTCCGCGGTGGTAAATACCTCCCCACCAACTACCGCCACTTCCCAAGGGGTGGGGGGAGAAGCTAAGGGGCAGAAGGCACCGGAGGCTTTCCCAACGACGGAGAAAGAGGTTGGAGGGCAGAAGGAACCGGAAGCTTCCCCAGAGACGGAGAGAGAGGCTGGAAAACAACAGGAACGGAGGAACAGCGTTCTGCCGCAGCACCCCCGGCCTTCAATCTCCCCATCAGGCGCAAGTTCACGCCACAAACCCATCCTGTCTTCAAGGAGGGTTGGGTAGGTTTTTCTCGCAGTTTGAACTCCCTGCAAGCCTCCCACTGGACAATCCAGTGAAAGGTAACCATGCAAGGATACGCAGCGGAATATAAAAATTTTAACATCCTAACATGATTATCTTGCCCAAAATCACGTACTAAAACTTATAGTAAGTAAGAAATTTATACCTTTCTCCGTAAGCGGTAAAAACGAAGAAGTCGTAGGAAGAGCGTTGAAAGTGCAAATGTAACCGTTCAAGCGTCCGGTCTCCAACTTTGACACACGAACAACGCCAGAGTTTACCACAATCTTTATGCTAGTAAAGATTATAGTAGTATAAAATATAAAGATTAAAATTTGGGAATATAATAATCTTGTATATTTCTATAGAAAATATTTCCAATAATATTTAGAAAATATTATAGATATTTTCTATACACAAAATGATATTAATGGAACACAAAAGAATTTTCTCTCACTAGATTTCAAAGTGGCCGAAACTATTTCTCAAAAATGAACCACCAAAAATTGTGAATGGAGTAAAGTATTTAAATAAAACAAAGATGTTAAATTAACTTTTGTCATTAGCTAAATGACAAAACCATTAGTCCACTAATTTATCAATCAAGGAAATGTTGAAATCAATTCAATGATTCCAAATCCTCCCTTAGCCGTAAGTGTAGATTGTGAGAAGGATTTGTGAAATTCTTCTCCACTTAAATGTTCAAAGTGTATTTTATTTGACACCAAAAATTAATATAAAATTAATCTTAAATCAAATAAAATATCAATATCATTTTTAAACAAGTATACAAATATACTTTAAATAGTTTATGTCAAATTAATTATTCTCATAATTAAAATGACAAACCAAAATAAAATATTCAACATATATATATATATATATATATATATATATATATATATATATATATATATATATATATATATATATATATATTACACTAGGTATGGTTTTAGACTGTTCCTTGCTAAGCTTAGATCGGCTGGTATGATGTTTGAAAATAATGGTACTGAATTATGGGTTGATGATACTAGATGCTTATACCCAAACTCTTTTGAGAAGGAAACCCCTGATGCTCAGACCATTTCCAAAGCTCTGTTTAGTAAAGACATTGGCTGCTATCTAAATAAGTTTGAAAATTCTACAACCATAACTGACCCCCTCTTGAGCTCTAGTATGGTGAAACCTGTTAGCAATCAGGCTTATGATTCTTCCTTAATGTCTTTGTCTAAAGAGATGCAACTTGCTCTGGCTTCTACGAGAACGAGTTCCTTTTCAAATGTAACGGTTGATGTGCCAACTTGGGAAGCTGGAAATTCAAAGGCAGATTGTGGTGCTCCAACAGATGTGGTAATAAGTTCCATAGTGCTAAGAGGAGTAAAATTCAAGCCCATTGCTGACTTTGAACTACAAGACTCTAACTCTCAAATTACCCCTGTAGAAGGGATTGGTTTAGCACTGGCAGTTTGCTCTTCAGTACAGCCCGGGACAGGAGTTTTTCACTCGATTGCAGGCTCCTCTTCACAAGTAATCAGAAGCTCAACCAAAGATAAACTATCATTTCATGCCTCTCCATTCTACCCCAGAAGTCTTATGCCGTCTGAACTTGATGGGAGAAACACTTCATCTTTTACTCCATTTTTAAAACACTTCATCTTTTACTCCATTTTTAAAACATTTCATCTTTTACTTTTTGATATTAAACACTTTTACTTTTGAATAAAATGACTAATATGTCCAAATATAGTACTCCCTAATTCCAATATACATCCATTTTGTATTGGTATATTTATTTAAGTAATTTGTCTTTTCTTATTCAATGCTAAGAATATAATTGAAAAGTTAAATTACATAAATAAATCTATCAAAAGTCAAAATATGAACTGTTTTAAAAACAAAAAGTAAAATTCAAAACTAACTAATTTAATTCCATAGAGTTTCAACTCCAAATCAATTTCAATTTCGTGTACGAAACAAAACCTTAGTATAATTACAAGTAGAAAATCATACGAAGTATGTATATTTATATTCAAATTGAATCATCATGTTTAAATACGAATCACAAATCAAGTAAAAATTATTCTCCTTCATCCGCACAACGTTAGTCCTTACACTACTTCTACTAAACAATCTCAATTTTTTTATGAAAAAACAAACTCAATTTGATTGGTCAATGTTCGTGCATTTCATCAATTTTAGGACACCTCATGCCTCACTCTGTTTAAGCTCGGGTTGCAAAACATATGATTGTGCAAGCATTGATAACGCTTTGTTCCGTCAATCCTCAGGAATATATCTATTCCTCCTCGCACCAAATGCGATTCGCTGTAAAAAGTATATGCAGATTAATGAATAACAGATTCATGAAGAGAGAAAAACGACAGCCGCTACAGAAGTCAGAAGGGATGGAGGTTTTCACCATACTTAACTGAGAATATCTGTGAATATGCTTTTAATCCGGTGAGAAAACGAATGTAAGTAGGTTTTGTCGATCCACGTGTGGGTATGGACCTAATGTTTGGGACAAGATAATTGGCAACCTACAACCGTGACAAAAGGAGAACTAAGAGGGCACTTCTGATGTGATTGGGATAAAATTCAATCAAAGAATTTAAGACAAACAAATAAACCCATTAGAATCCTCCGACTGTGTAGGGTGTGTGTAGACAAACCCTACCTCTACTTGAAAGTAGAGAGGTTGCTTCCAAAATAATTCCGGCACAAAAAGCATAGATAGTGTAAACATAGTAGCACAAACAAGGTGAGATCACAAGCTCAAGTAGCACACATAACACTGGCAACTAGACACACATGCACAAGCTATGGACTAAAGCAAAAACCACATCAGGAAGTACAAATTTAGGCCAGGGGTCGACCCGGCTATTCTAATCCTACCTCTCCATGTGCTCCTATCTAAGGTCATCTCATATCCTTGGTAAAATAATGAAGACATACGTCCTGCCTAATCACTTACTCCCAGCTCTACCTCTACCCCTACTCACGCTCATTGAGTCATTGGTTCAATCCTCTCGCATCAAAGATTTTAATTGTTAAAAATAAGCAGAGAATACAAATCAGGGAAGTATGGAAGATACTGACCACATCCGGGGGCTCTGCCAATACGTTTATGAAAAATTTGGCCTGCACATAACAAATGCCATTAAATGGACATCATAAGGGAAATGGCAAGCATTATGGTCGCGTTCTAGTACACAACCTGCTTCGTGGTAGCACCAGACATAAGCAGATCAGTGGTGACCATTCCAGGCTGCCCATCCATCAGAGAGAGTGATTGAGCAAGTGAATATAAGGAATATTGTCAAGATAAAGATAGCATGAAAATTAGATCCAATGCCGCATTTTTGTTAGGAGGTGGGACTGAAGCATTTGGAGGGAAAATTTTTTTATTTAATGCCCTCATTTTTGTACAACAGAACCTCACTACTTTCATGTTCACCAACTTAATCACAACTACATTGTGGTCAGTGTCAGAAATGTAGGATTGCAAATTGGTATAGAATTAATTATTAGCACATAAATCATGCAAAAAGAAATATACTATTGATAAAGTTGAACATGGAAATTGTCATGTTATGGTCATAGGTTGATATAGCTGGTATAGCCTTATCCATATTTAATTTTCATGATAATCTTTCACATGTCACATGTGAATAGGAACAGTATTGTTTCAACTTTAAACTGAGTATTATTTTATAGAAAAGTAAATAAAATCCATAAAACATACCGAGAGGTTGTGCACTACAACATTTTTTACATCTTGCATCTCCAATTCGGCCTGCAGGGCAACAGAGAATTGTCATGTATTACAACTACCCTATCTATATATTTTTATATTTACTTGTAATTTTTCAATACCTAATCAAAAAAGTTTACATGCTAAATACTCCGTACAAAACTAACAAATAAACCTCATGCATTTAAACATGACCCATGATTTTTAAAAGTTGTACTTTGAACAAACATGCCTATTTTTGGGACCCGGCCAATATACATATGATAGAGTTCAAAGTCCCAGTATTACAGTAATATTGCTTGCATTCCTTTCGGAGTCGTGTTTTACTGGCCCCACCGCATTTTACATTCACATGCACGAGTGTGCCTATGGGTATTTGTGTGAACAAAAAGTAAGGTGCGCACAATGTGAAATAGTAAGTCCCACCCAAAAATGTGACAATGGACAACATTATTCCCCATATCTTTTGCAAAAATTGGACAATTGGCGTAACTAATTAAAGCACAAATATACCCAAAAAAAAGTGAAAAGAGAAGGGGAGAAGTTTACGTGCCTGCAATGATTTTGTAAGGTGCACCACACTACGCTTAGTTGCCCCATAAGCAGCAAATCTGTGAAAAGCGCACAAAAGAAATGCATTAATAGAGATGCAACGGCACCAGTGAAGAGAGTAGAGAGTTTTTTTATATTGAGTGGACCAATCCACACAAGACGTGGGAGGATGATGAATACCTGGGGGTTGGCCTTCCGTTGGATCCAGCTCCATCAACATTAAATACATGACCCCCTCGAGGCTGACTAAGCATCATGCTTATAGCCTAAACTTACCACCATGCATTAGCAAAAGAAAGTATCATGATGAATGATGGCAAATCCTATGTATTTGTTTACCTCTCTGCAGCATAACATCATACCAAGTGTATTTGTTGTGACAACATCACTGCAAACAAATTTAAGTTTCAGAATAATATCAGAAGGCTGTATACTGTATTACTAAAAATGTGTAAAAGTTTACATAAGATCTTCATCGGAGGCTTCTACTAGTGGTTTGTAGCTATACGCATTTGATCCAGCATTATTAATCTGCATCATTTTCAAGAAGTTGAAGGAAGAGCAACATCATAAAATTGCACCTACAGTCTCACACAAGATAAAAAAATATAAAATTTGTTAATGCTTACAACATTCCCCAGTGCCGCAAAACCCACTGTGGGGTAAGGGGGGACAGATGTACTCAGCCTGACCCTTATGCTTAAAGCATTAAGCGGCTGTTCCCAGATGACCCATGAAGAGCATCGAAAGTCGGACTAACTGCTACTTCACTATAAAAAGAAGCATCAATGTAAAGAACTTAGAGTCATTTTTGCCTAATTCCATCATACCCCACCAAAGCCAATTAATTCCATCATACCCCACCAAGTGCTAATTATATTTAAGGATTATTTTCAAAATAAATTTTTTTATAAGGATGACTTTAACAAAAAAATATTTTGCAGGGACCAAAAACAAAACACACCTATTTTACAGGGACTAAAAGCACATTTAACCCTATTAAAAATTTCAAGATCAAGTGATAACATAGTACTAATAATTCCAGTGATGTAGAACAATCAACGGATAAAAAATAATGTAGAACTATAATTCCAATGGTGTGAACTTTTAAATTACACATATAAGGGAAAACATGCAACTGGATTACTTTTCAGAATTCTAAAATCTTTTTAAGAGTATTTCTCATCTGTAATTAATGAGCATCATATTAATTTTCATACAGAGCTTCTCTTAGTCAGCATGAATAATCAGAAAATTGCCCTAGCACCAACAGTAAAATTGAACTCAAAGAAAAGAGATATCTCAATAATAAATAAGATCAAGTACCCATAGATCTATGTGCTTAAGGTTTTGCTTTGCGAATGCAACTAAGCTTCTTACATCACTGCTATCTCGAACATCGCACTTAGTGCCCTGCTAAAGTGTCAATAGATAGAGCTCACATCTAATGAGTATGATAATCCTCTTCAGGTTGTGGTTACACGTCAAGGTAACAGGCTGGGTATGAGCATATAAGTGCATAATGTTATACAGTAAATAAATCATAAAAAATGACTGGATAGTGTTAAACAGTACATGCAGCTAGCTGAAAGGTAAAATACTATATTTTCACAATATTTCACATAGTAAAACAACAGAAATACAAAAAATAAGTGTTAGTCTCAATTCATTGAGGTCAGATACATGAACCAGTAGAAAATTTACCTAGATCATCCACTAAAGTTCTCTTTTCCATTCCTTTGTGTCATGTACCATTTGCTTGAGCCGGGAGTCTTTCGGATATAGTCTCTACCTTCTCTAGGTAGGGGTAAGGTCGGTGCAAACCCACCCTAAACGCCATTTGTGGGATTTTACTGAGTTGGATGCTATTGTTGCTTCTCTACTGTCCATATAACACCTTTTATCCAAGACACTTTCAGTCTAGCCCACTTCTCTTGAACTCTCTCACGCTCTAAGAGTTCACTCTCCATGTTAGTCCATGAACTTCTCGATGACTTCCACACTTGAACCCAAAATTGGTTCTCCCTTTATCTTCAATAACAGCTATACCAACCTTCTCGCAAAATTCCTCTTTGAGCACACGCACTATAGTTCATAAGGCATATCAGCCACATTCATCTTCTTTAATGCACAACACTTAAATCAGCTTCATTCCTATGAAATTCTTCTATTCAATCTTATTGCCCATTTCCATTTGACCCAACTTATACTCATCATATATGTCACACTTGTCCATATATCTTTTTACTTTGTATAATAAGAGCTCATAACAAGAACACCCTCATGCTAGCAATTTTTTAGCTCAAATAGTGAGCAAAACGTGTTAGTTAGTGTGTACACACTAAGAGGGAGTTAGCATAACACATTAGTTAGTGAGTATGAAGCACCAACATGCTATCACTATGTCTGGCTAATAATTTTTTAGGCAAAGATGAAGAGTGAAATCTTTTGGGACATCTACTAATAGAAGATTATGTTAGCATGATTTCTAACACGATAGACACCACATCTACATTTCTAACACGATTAGTACAGATTATACAAATGTTATCATTTTTGTAACATAACATTTATATTTTCCAATGATTGGTTACTTTCAACAATTTTCTTCTTCTACATCTTCAATGTATTATTCAATTGAGTATTTTTTTGTGTCATAAAGCAAATGAATCTAGAATAAAAGCAATTGGGTGTATTATATGTTGATGAATTAATTAATATTTATACAAATCATAATGTTAAAAATAATAAAATTACTATAATAATTTAACGTTAATTTGAATAAAATGAGATTAGATCCATCAGATCACAACCCATCAGATCTTATCAAAATCCAATCAGTTCAGATCCAAGGAGATCAAATCAAATCCATTCAGCAGATTAGACAAGACCTTGAAAAAGTCAAATCAGAACCAATCAGATCAAGCAAACGAAATGTAGCCTTTGTTGTGTTTTACACTTATATTTATTATTTCGGTCTCGTAAACTTTGTCTAGTCAAGTAGAACTTGACAGACCTGTCCTTGTTAGTTCTGCCAGCTTAAATTTTCACTATCAATAAAGATTAAATTTGGAATGATTGGTTTGTTTTCAACTCCATCACTCCTCATTTACTCCAAAACTAATAAAGAAAAATCTCCTCCCTTATAATTCACTGCCCTTCTCCCTATTCCCCATAACCCGAACACACTGTTAATAAAATGTCAACTAACAATTAATTAAAATGATAAAAAATAGAGGGTTTATTCTTTTGATACTCTCCACCAATAATCATAATATCAAAGCGATCTATTTAAAATTCATATATTGCTTTGTTCCACGCCAAAGTGATTTTTATACTACTTCAATCCCCACAAACTCTTGTGATGTACCCCGGGATGCTCCTACAAGCATGGAGGCTACGCCACAAACCATAAAACAAATCAAAGGGTTAATATCTAAGTGTTATGATCCTTTTTGGGCTGAACTCATTAACCTTTCGTATCCTAAAACCCAAACCATAACCCTTCTCTTCCAAAGCCTTTCTTGATATTAAACCATTCCATATCCTTCCCAAAATACCCAAAAGTCTTTTATTTTCATTTGATGAACAAAATAAAGTCCTTTCTCTCCTTTTTAGCCCTGAACAAAAATGAGGTCAGAAGAACAAACCTTGTGTATTGTTTCTACTTCTTTTGTTCCTTTTAATTAAAATAAAACCTTCCTTTCACTTCCCTACATCAAACCCACGAATTTCCCAACTCTTTTACCCAAAAATCAGGCCACATTATGTTTTAATCAAGACAAAATTCAACCCACAAAACAAAAACAAAATCAGGAAAAAGTTTTCCTTGATTGAATAGTGCTGATTTTGTCCTGTTGTTCAAAAACCAATCCCCTTCATATCCTTCAGCATATGGCCGAATTTCCCACTCCAAATATCCATAAA